ATTATTATTATTATTATTATTATTATTATTATTATTATCATCATTATTATTAATAATAATAATTAATATTAATAATAATAATACAGTGAACTGCTGCGTACATGTGGCAGACCAGGTGTTGCGGGCTAGCATTCCACACTCCTAGCACTCGACGCAAGATCAGCCCCTTATCCTCCCTGATTGCGTTTCTCGGTCTCTCCATGTTCTCTTTTCTGTTTCTCACTGCCCCTTGATATGACTCAATTAGCCTGACAGTTTTTTCTGCTGGGGCGGCTTGTGACATAATGTTCAAGTTACTTAACAGTCTCTGAATTCCCGGATTCTATGCTCATATTCGACTGAATCTCGCAGTACTGAGACCGTCAAACTGCTTTATCAACGTGGGTGCCGTTGGACAGCGACCACGCAGTGGGCTTATTGCTGCACGAGCTTCAAAACGTCCCGATCGACATCCTTGCTGTGTGTGAAACGCACCGGAAACCAACAACTGCTGCGAAGTGGAGCGACGCTTCTGAAGTGATTCTTGGTGCGTCAGAAGAGGGTGTCGGATGGATAGGTTTCATTGTAAGACTGGCGGACACAATGAGAAGAATCGTTTCGTGTGAGAAGCTGTCAGCGCGTCTTGGGTGTGCTCGTTGCCAGGATTGATAATTGACGAACAATGAAACTCGTAGCAACTTCTGCGCCGATGTCAGCTGCAACAGAAGAGGGCGTTGAGCATTTTTACGGAGAACCTGGGGAAGCATTGCGACAGAATTCAACGTATACGATAGTATTTGGCGAATTCAACGCTAAATTAGAAGGTAAAGAAGACGAAGAGTGCATTGGCCCGTATGGGCTTGGGAGCAGAAATGAAAGAGGACAAAGGCTAACAAACTTCGCTGAATCAGCTAGACTCTGCGTGATGACTTCATTCTTCAAGAACTGCCTAGGGAGACGCTAGAGTTGGTGAGTTCCAAACGACGCGGTAAGGAGTGAAATTGATTACACCCTGAAATTGCAGAAGATTGGCTACGAACGTCTCGGAATCCGCCGTAAACACCCATACCAATCGTCGCCTGGTGAGAGCGAAGATTAAAATGGATCTCAAGCGGGAAGAACGAATATGGAAGGTAATCCTCTTTCGTGACAGGCCAAAACAAGTTGCACCTCAGCGTTTCCTTGAAGCATTTGAAGCCGAGGATTGGAAAATTACCGGCGAAGACACTGATGCGGATTACGCTCTATTTCTCGAAAAGCTCTCCAAGTGTAAAACAGCAGCAGCAGCAGCAGTCAAAGTTGTCAAAAGTTCCCGAACACGTCTTAATCAAAAAACGTTGGCGTTTTTTCAGCTGAGAAGTGCAATGGCAGCGGAAAGCAAAACTGGCCTGGAATATAAAATTCTTTGCAAGCACGTGCAAAGATTAATGAAGGAGGACAACTACCGACAGAATAAGCTAAAAGAAGCGGCATCACAAAAATTATGCATAAAAAGAGTCTACCGAGAAATTCAAGTGCGTCAAAATCTGTCGGTGGCGTTTGTTGACAAAACCGATCGCGGGACAACAAACCGACGTCAAATGGAATCTATTTGTAAGGATTTTTTCAGTCAGTTCTCGCCGATTGTCACTATCGAAAGCCCAATAAAACAAGCAACGTCCGCTGCGCCAGATATAGAGCCGTGCAAAGTCGAACATGAAGTTCGCAGCATGAATGCAAGAAAAGCAGCAGGAATAGATAAACTTCGGGCTGGAGGCAAAAGGCTGTTCAAAGTATCCAGTTCTCATTTTCCTTGGTATTTCAATTTCAGCAGGATTTCAGCAAGTTGGTAGAAATCCAGAACAGTTCTGATACACAAAAAGGGCGAACGAGAACACATAAACAGCTATCGCCCGATATGCCTACTCCCACACACATAAAAAATTTTCACGCTAGTGATGTCGAGAAGACATTCGGTGAAAACACGAAGAGGGAGCAGGCTGGATTCAGGAAGCGATTCTCGACCACTGACCACATCTTCACGGTTACACAGCTAGTCGAGCTGTGCAGGGAATACAAAGTACCCCCATGCTTCCTCTTCATTGACTTTCAGAAGGCCTTTGACTGTGTGGAGAACAATGCCGTTTTACAATCTTGTGCGGACCAAGGCGTTGAGGACGTATACGTGCAAATTATTAAAGACTCTTTAGTCAATTCGCACACTGAAATTACGCTATCTGATGATCCAGTATAAGAAATGGGGTTGGCAGAAGTGTGAAGCAAGGAGACATTTGTTTCCCTAAAGCCTTCATATGTGCATTGGAGCAAGGCCTGTGAAAGAAAAAGATGGCAAAGGGTTTTGAAATAAGCGGTGAAGAACTTCGAATGCTGCTTTTTGCGGATTATGTGATGCCGATAGCATGAAGTCCAAAGACGCTGGAAGATATGCTAACTAAACTGCATAGAAACGTTAACAAAATAGGGATCAAAGTCCATAACGGGAAAACTAAATGGATGAAAAATGCATACTGCCTGCAATCCGCCATGAAACTTGACGATCAGGAAGTTGAGCTAGTAGATTTATATGTCTACTTAGGGCAAGCGATACAAATGGACGGCAATCTGCAGACGGAACTAAACAAAAGGAGAAGAGTAGGGTGGATTGCATTCACCAAACTCAAAGAAATCTCAAATAGGCGGACACCATTTCACATAAAAACAGAAATCTTCAGTACCACTGTTCTCCCTGTACTGCTTTATGGATGCGAAACGTGGAACACTGCTATCGCAGAAGAAAAGAAACCAGCCGTTGCACAACGATCAACGGAGAGATGAATGTTTGGTGTCAGCAGAACACAGCGTACACGCAACAATGAGGTTCGATTAAGTTTTGGTGTGACAAATAGAAGAGATATATGCAAGGAAAAGAAGCTGGACCGGTCACGTAGCAAGAATGGTGGACGAAACGTGTTATCAGTTGGTACCCACGACAAGTAAAAAGACCAGCAGGAAAGCCGCGATGCATTGGTCAGATCCGCTAATTGGATTATATGGAGTGCTGTGGATAAAGGCGAGCTCAGGATAGAACTTGGTGGCGTGGTTGTCGGCACACTCACTGGAGAGGATCAGTAGCGCGTCAGTGGTGGAAACGCAGTATCAAGTAAGTGCGACTGAATGTCTCAAGTTCAGCTTCAGAGCACACCTTGACCTCGCGCGCGCAAGTGAAAGTTTAGTTTGGGGTACTATTGGCACTCAATTAACTTGGTAACTAGGCTGAGCAGAAAGCAGTTTTTTTTTTTTTGAGGATGTCTGCTGTTTGTGTACGAGCCAACAAGTGTAAAATGAACTTCTACCTAGGCACGGGCTCTGCGTAAAATGCAACATCGCAGTCATAATTCAACAGTACGGGCGATCTCTCTACGGGATGGAATCGTGCAAAAATGCATGACCATACCGATAAGCCTGGTGCGTCGCTACCTAGTGATCAATATTTTAGGAATACAAAGCACTCTACAATCGAATCTGCTTGGTACTTCTAAAGGAAAATTCATAACACTTGGCATCATCTGACGAAAGCAAATTTCAGTGGTTTGACAATTTTCTAAGGACGTAGCAAAACTTCATGAAATGCATTTAATTTGGCGCAGCTTGCTAAGCAGTTGGAAATCCTAGAATTTAGGTAGCATCAGCTATGTCCAAAAGTCATGCTTCGAAAAAATCTGCTCGTTTCAGTACTTATATTACAGCTAATTTCTTCACCTGTAATTTGATTGTGACGGAATTTGAAGTTGCTCTTTAAGACATGTTGGTAGCGCTGCTGACAAGTAGTCATCACATATTAGTGGATGGTAACGAATGCTTTATTACAGCTAAGTTGGCATCTCGAAGAGATTGAGGGAATGCCCGGATCCTAACTAGCTGGCAAAGACTTGTGTCCTGGCCTGTAGCTACTACAGCAATAAAATAATTTTTGTGGGTAGTTGCTACGAATGGACAGAATGTGAGGCCATATAATATGACATGTGGACTTCAAGTCCGTGCTGAACAAAATACACATTATTTGGAGTCCATCACATGTTTTGTTTAGATCCATGAAACCAGCCTGAATTAGTAGCTCAGGCCATAATTCCTGGAAGAGGAAACACAAGGTTGAATATACTTGAAACTGGAAACTTTTCTGTGAGCAAAGCGCATAGTACAGAGAAATGGCATATGCAAACTCAAAGAAAAAAGTGCGCTTCAGATTTGATTTTCTCAGTTAAATGGAGTGCTACGCTTTAAATAATTTTCTTTTCTTATTTTTGGTATAGGTTGCTCTCTTGTTCAGTATGATGTCAGAATTCGAGGATTCTGGACAAATTTTTCAAAATAATTTAACTTTTTTTAATGCCGTCTGGCGAAATTTTAGGCATAAGCAGTTGAACCCGACGCCCATCATGTCATTTCCTCAAATTTTTTTTACCCCATCTCAATAGCTTTGCGTTTTGAAAATATAAGAAGGATAACTTTCATTGTCAATTCATTGTAGCGCGCAAGAGTGACTGAAAGAAGATGGGGATTTTGTGTTTGCAGAACTGATCATCTCTGGCAGATAATGAGGATCTGGTTCAATGATTTTTTCATTATCCCAGCGCGTGACATTAAGCTGATTATTTCAAGAGCACTGTCTGCGGCTCCACTAAAGGGTGCTTGTTTGTTTGGACCAACCATATGGCCACATATATGCAAACATTCATAATATCTTAGTGAGACCCATTTTTACTGGCTTCCTAGTATCACACTTTGTACTGTGAAAACTTCAGAACTAAGAAGCACGCAGTTTTGCAAATTACTTGTGTAGCAAACCGACATTACTAATAAGAAGTTTTAGTCATGCGCATAGCGCGGACCTCCTTTAGCCTTAGGGCATTTGTTTGCAGTGCTTTCTCGTAGGCTTCCCATGTAGGCGCATTACTTCTTTCTGAATTTTCCAGGTGCGCATTCTTCTTTTATAGAATAAGTAATGCCAACTTGAAAACAATGAGCACCAAAACAGAAAAATTTTTTTTTCCTATTTTCAACTAAAAGATAGAAATCAGCAGAAATGCTTAATGCTATAAGTTAGAGGCAAAAAAAAGGTAACGCCGTAAAATGCGAAATTTGTTTTGTCACAGTCCGCATGCTTTGACATAAATACAGCAATAATTACGATAATCTGGAAACAGTTGTTTTTTGATCGCAGTGCACTTCCTCGCCATCAGCTCAACTGGCTACTCCCTATGGTAGTAGTGAAAAAAGTTGCATCATCTCGAGGTCAGCTTATCGGTAGTACCCGTTTCTAGCTTATTCACTTCTTTCAGTCGGGAAAAGCGATACCTGTACTACATCGCTGTCGCCTTCCGTTAATCCTATAACTGATCTGCTAGCAATCTGCTTGCTCTTGCTCAAAAGTCACCACCTGTTGGAACAGAAATTCCGCTAAATAATCGCTCGGTTTTCTGAACACAGCGAACTCCGAGTGCAAAAATATATCAAGTTGAATCAGAAGGTTACCACGTGACTTTCAATGATAATTAATTGCTATAAAGCCTATGGGATTCAATAGTTCATCAGCTCCATTGTTTTTATGCAGAGGGACCCTTTCAAGCCTTCAGATTTACAGTAAGGGGCACCATAAACTTCCGGGCAACAATAAAGGAAATCAACACAAACATCTCAGTGAAGTTATGCAAAAATCGTTTTTATGCGTCTTTGCTTATATGCAAATGCAAAAGCGCATATTGTGACGACGCCGGTGTGTATGTGAGTATCTGTCTGGATATTTCAACTCGGCATTCAAGCAAGCTTCGGTGCCAAAATTTTGCCGGTGGATTCCCTGGCCAAGTGACACTCAGTGACCGCGCTACCAACCCTCGCGCAAATTTGGTCCCCGCGTACGAGGGGTTGAAAGTTTTGACGGGAAAATCGCTAATTCGGGAACCCAGAAAACTAGCAAGTTGAAACGCTGCGGTTATATCCCCATCGACAGAGAACTCAAAGATTTCAAATTCAGCCGCCGGACGTGCGTATTTCCGACGCACAGCCCCGTGAGGGTTCCTAGCACGAAAATCGCTAACTCAGGTACCAAAAAAGTTGGATGGCTAAAATTTTCGGGGAGTGTTCCCAGCACATATACAAAATAAATTTATGTTGTATATTATGTTGTATAGAATCAGCCTTCAGGCATGCGCTGTTCTCATGTACTACCTCGTGAAATTTTTTGATGGAAGAATAGCAAACTCGGGAACCTGGAAAGCCAGGAGGCTGAAATTTTCAAGAAATGTTTCCGGCACATGTGCAACTTAAAGTTATCGAATTCAGCCCTTCGGTGTGTGTGTTTGTCATGTAAGGTCCCATGGAAATTTTTGGCGGGAAAACGCCTAATTTAGGGACCGGGAAAGCTGGGAGGCTGAAATTTTCAGGGAATGTTCCCAGCACATGTACAACACAAATTTATCAAATTCAGCTTCCCAGGCACGTGCAGTTACCATGTGTGGCCCCATGGAAATTCTTGACGGGGAAATGACTAATTCGGGGGTTGGAAAAGCAGGAAGGCTGAAATTTTCAGAGAATATTCTCTATTTCAAGTACAGCATAGACAATTAATTTTCTGAAATTCGAGGATCAGTATGTCACACATTTCTAGCTACTGGATTTCCGAGCAATCTCATTACAGCACGAAACACTGCAAAAACGCATAATCGCACGGGCCCGTCCGATGCGCGTCGTCAGTGATTAAATAAGGAGTGTTCATTTGCCAAAGTCAGGCTTAAACGCACCAAGCGAACCGATGCAATCATGCTTTTTTGCACCAAGCTTGAAGTAATTAGGTTAACTGCATGAACAGTTGTTGCTTCACCTACCTTATGTGCTCGATACAGTAAATCATCGTAGATTTTGCATAAACGAAAATAAACAATTTCCATTTAGGGGTTATTTTTTGAAAATGATCCAGCTGTTCAGCGAGCAATTTTCCCGCTAAAAATTTATCATGCGTACCTGGAGGGTGAATTTGAAACTTTTAAGATGTATTTGGACGGGGAATGTTCTCCTAAAATCTCAGCTTTTCTGATTCTCGAATTAGCAGCTTTCTCCCCAAAAGTTTCACGGGGCCGTACGTGAATTTGGGGTATACTTGGAGGCCAGATTTGAAATCTTTAAGTTGCACTTGAGCTGGGAACACCTCTTTAAAATTTCGGCCTCCCAGCTTTCCTGATTCCTGAGTTAGCAATTCCTCTCGCCAAAACATTTCACAGGCCGTACGTGAGAACCACATATGCCTGGAAGCTGAATTTGATGGCTTTAAGTTGTGCATGAGCAAGGAACATCCCCTTAGAATTTCAGCCACCTAGCTTTCCTGGTTCCCAAGTTAGTGATTTCCGTGCCAAGAACCCTTATGGGGACGTACGCGGGAACCACGCACACCTAGATGCTGAATTTGAAAAACTTACTCTATGTGGGCGGAGAACATAGCCTCAAAATTTCAGCCTTCCAGTTTTTCTCATTCCCGAGTTAGCAGTTTTCCCGCCAGAATTTTCACTCGCTCGCACGCGAGGCCCAGACGTGCGTGACAGCTGGTACCGCGGTCCTAAGGTGGCACTTGGCCGGGAAACCAACTGGCAAATTTTGGCGCCGAAGCCTGCATGGTTGCCGAGTTGAAATATCCGGACAGACGAGTACACACACAAACATGCACACACATACATACACAGACAGGGTCGTTGCAATATGCGTTTTTGGAATTTGCATATAGGCAAAAACGCGTAAAGAAAAAATAGACAGTAATTTGCAAAAACAAATGAATAATCCATGGCATCCTATCATTTGTCCAGAAGGGATACCTGTACTCACATCAAAGTGTTCCCCGTA